CCCGTGTGGAATAACGACTCAAGACAATGTGCTATGGGATTAAAATTGGCCACAACTTTATTATATTTGAGATGTGGGTAGGCCTTGGCTCAGGCATTGGGTGTTTATCCCTCCCAGTCCCCTGCCGGGGATCTGGGGAACATCAGGATTATCCAGTGGGGGGGGGAATGGGCTGGCTCTGGAGAACATATGTTCAAGCAGAGAGAGCCTGCCCCCGTTACACCGCCGTCGCAGGGGAGAGCAATGACGACCTCTAGGCGTACGGCCAAAGCCTCCCCTCAAACAACCCCTTTAACGGGGAACATTGGTATCGCCGCTGCCAAGAGGAGGGAGGCGTGGGTCACCGCTGCACGTTCCCCACCCCCCATTCAGGAAAGATAGACTAAAGGATTCTGCCCAAGGCCTGATACCGCCAAAATTGTGACATTTTGCTATAGGAAAAGCAAACCTGCCAATGCAGCGAAATTCCTTTCCGGCTCTTCAACAGCGACCTTGACGTAGCAGCGCCCACGTACCTGTGGATAAAAGGTTAACCTGCAAAAGAAGTCTTAACTGAAGGTGGGTAGGGTGGGAGAAGCTCTGGAGCCGATTCCCAGGTAAGATCCTCCCTCTATTGTGTGGGCAGGTGGTCCCTCCCCCTATCTGGCCTGGTCACCTTGGCAACGCCTCCCCAGGTAGGACTGGGCAACTGACTGAGGTAGGCGGAGACCTCCAGGTATCCCACCTGGGGGAAGGCAAAGCCAAGCTTGTGCTAATGTTGCCGCATAGGGTCCAAGGGCTGCGCACGACCACGCAAAGGGCGCCCCCCATTCAATGTGGGGAGCTGTCACTCACAAGGCAAATCGAAAAAAAAGTAGTATAAACACTCAAACTCAGGACGCAAGGGAGAAATGAGCTAAGACTTGGCAAATCCACACCGTGATCAGCTCCTGCCCAGAAACCAATGTCCCCACTGTGGAAGGACGTGTGGGTCCAGAATTGGCCTCCACAGTCACTTACAGACTCATTGTTAAAACCGTGTTTATGGAAGACCAAATAAGAAAGATTAGTTACTGAGTGTTCAAGTGTTTTATTGAAGTTGATAAAGCAATATGGTTGGTGCAAAGTGTGTTTGGGGAAGACAGCAGGACTCCTGAACTGTATCTTTACATGTGAGGGTGTTTTGCAATATTTATGAGGTATATATAGAAAACGTTGTACTCCAACGCTTAACTTGATGTATTTATTTTTCTAATATCATTCTCTCTTGTTTATTTTACTTAAGTACTCGGGTGTATTTGTGCAGAGAGATGTATTGCTTAATTATCCAACTTAAAATATGGACTCTTATTATTAGCAGCTGCGGTTGTATTCAGTGTGGTGTCTTTATGTAATAAATGTTGATTTTTGTTGAGATGTAGGCTGCTTAGGAATTTCATGAACTGCACCCGTTCCATTAGCAGTAGGGTTCATGCTTGTGCAGCAGATTTTTCCCCTCTCTTCCCACCCCATGTGTGCCCCACACCCTCTCCAAATCTTATCTAGATGGTGGACAGCAGCAAAAAGGGGGGGGTTCATCCAGCGGGTGCAGAATGCCACGGCAAGGCTCCTTACGGGGTCCTTGCCGCAGGATCACATTCACCCGGTGCTATACCAGTTGCACTGGCTCCCAGTGGAGTACAGAATCAGGTTTAAGGTGCTGGTTTTAACCTTTAAGGCCCTATACGGCCTAGGACCCTCGTACCTATGGGACCGCCTCTCCTGGTATGTCCCACAGAGAAACTTAGGGTCTTCAAACAAAAGCATCTTGGAGGTCCCAGGCCACAGGGAGGTTAGGCTGGCCTTGACCAGAGCCAGGGCTTTTTTGGTTGTGGACCCCAATCTGGTGGAACGCTCTGTCACAAGAGACCAGGACCTTGCGGGACTTGACATCTTTCCACAGGGCCTGCAAGACGGAGCTGTTCCACCAGGCCTTTGGCCAAAGCACAGTCTGACCCCCTCTCTCCTTCGGTAATCCTCATAGAACTCTAGCCCAATGGTTGCCATTAATTTGATTCTGAATTGATTTTAGAATGTATTTTAATTAATTGACTGTGTGATTTTATGTATACTGTGCTATTTTTACTTGTTCTTAGCCGCTCTGAGCTCGGCTTTGGCTGGGGAAGGTGGAATATAAATAAATAAATAAATAAATAAATAAATAAATTATTATTATTATTATTATGCAAGTCATGAATCCTTGCGCTAACACAATTTACACAGCAGTGCATTTGATTCAACCCATAATCCACAAGTTTATTTCACACACACACACACACACACACACACACACACAATGTATATACGGCCTGGGTCCAGTATACCTGAAGGAGCGTCTCCACCCCCATCATTCTGCCTGGACACTGAGGTCCAGCACTGAGTGCCTTCTGGTGGTTCCCTCACTGTGAGAAGCCAAGTTACAGGGAACCAGGCAGAGGGCCTTCTCGGTGGTGGCGCCGACCCTGTGGAATGCCCTCCCACCAGATCTCAAAGAGAACAACAACTACCAGACTTTTAGAAGACACCTGAAGGCAGCCCTGTTTAGGGAAGCTTTTAATGTTTGATGCATTACTGTATTTTAAAATTTTGTTGGAAGCCACCCAGAGTGGCTGGGGAAGCCCAGCCAGATGGGTGGGGTATAAATAATGAATTATTATAATATTATTATTATGCTCCGGGGCATTGCGTGAGTCGTGTGCACCCAGCACGCCGAGGGGTTGGGGCTGATGAAGCTCGTTTCTCCATGCTGCATATAGACACTCATATCTGTGACTGACATTGCCACAGCCTCGATATCTTGGCCAAATATGGGTCGTGATTTGAAGGAACAAATTGGAGAAGAGGAGACTGTGAGCCATCTTCAAATATCTGAAGAGCTGTCACATACCGGTAGCTTCTTTCCTGCTGCTCCAGAGCGTGGAAACCAATCAAAGAGTTCAAGTTACAAGAAAGGCGATTCCGACTAAACAATAGGAATATTCTTTCTGATTGTAAGAGATGATTGACAGTGGAGCGGTCTCCCTCTGGAGGTGGTTGGACTCTCCTTACTTGGAGCTTTCTAAGCAGAGGTTGGGTGGCCGTCTGTCAGGGATGCTTTAGCTGAGATTCCTGTATTGCAGGGAATTGCGCTCGATGACCTTTGGGGTCCCTTCCAACTGTACAATTCTATGATTTTACTGGTGGGTACATTGGCACTCACAGATATCACGCTGGCGACCCTTGCGCTAGCATGGCAATTAAGAATAACACACGTAAGTAGAATCTGTGCATAGAGGATAATCAAAGGAGAAATCATATGATAAGGCCTGTCAGTTCATGTACCATTTTGTACCATATCTCCTTATTCAAAAAGTGAATAAGCAGTGGGCTATTTTTAAGGAATGCATCGAAATTTATGTGGAAAAAGTAGAATTTCTGACAGATACTGCGTGAATCCAGAAAATGATTAGAGTGAAAGGAGAGTAAAGAGAAAAGAAGAGATTAAAGAAATAATGAAATGCGTTTAAGCTAGTTGGAAAAATAAAGTAGCGTAACAAGAACAGCTGGAAGTCAAGTCACTTGGTGGGTGTCCGTGTGGGGTAGGTGTGTAGGTATGTTGATATGTATAGTACAGGTAGATATTATATCGAGTAATGTAGGTATTACCTTGAGAGACATCACCTTGTAGAGACTTCACCTTGCCAACAAAGGTCCGTATAGTAAAAGCTATGGTTTTCCCAGTAGTGATGTATGGAAGTGAGAGCTGGACCATAAAGTAGGCTGATTGCTGAAGAATGGATGCTTTTGAATTATGGTGCTGGAGGAGACTCTTGAGAGTCCTATGGACTGCAAGAAGATCCAACCTCTCCATTCTGAAGGAAATCAGCCCTGAGTGCTCACTGGAAGGACAGATCCTGAAGCTGAGGCTCCAACACTTTGGCCACTTCATGAGAAGAGAAGACTCCCTGGAAAAGACCCTGATGTTAGGAAAGATGGAGGGCACAAGGAGAAGGGGATGACAGAGGACGAGATGGTTGGATAGTGTTCTCGAAGCTACTAGCATGAGTTTGACCAAACTGCGGGAGGCAGTGGAAGACAGGAGTGCCTGGCGTACTCTGGTCCAGGGAATCACGAAGAGTCAGACACAACTAAATGACTAAACAACAACAACAACACAATGTAGGTATGTTTTATGTTATGAAAATTAGGTAGTGTGTTGTGTACGTGTATTGTGCTAATGTATATGTATGTGTTTTATATGTTAATAAAAAGAAAAGAAAAGAAAAAGAAAAGAAAAAAGAAAGCCTGCCAGTTCCTAACACTTCATGCCAACTTTCGAAACTGTGAAGAGCAACACAACTGTGGTCTCTTTTGCCTGCTGGGATCAGCAGCTCGCCTCCACGCAGAAGATGCCCTGGTCTGTCCACATGCTGCCTTTCTAACTTTATTGTCCTAATAGCTGCAACACTGCAGACATGCAGACTTTTCCTACTCTTCCTGATGCCTAAAGATAAAGAGGGTGCCAGCTGAGCCTCCTTGCATCTCCCAAGTGTGGAGGCACCACCGAAAAGGCCAGTTCTCCTGTTACCCCCTCCTGGCACTCCCACAGAGGGGAGCATACAGAGAAGGGCTTTAGATGGCAGTCGCAGGGTCCCTGTAGTCTCTCACTAGGCCATGGCTCACTAACCTGGTGCCCTCCAAGTATGACATCCATCAGCCCCAGCCAGCTGCTGGGAGTCAGATATTTGAAGATAATTATCCTATCTCCTCTCAGTCTTTTCTTTTCCTGGCTGAACATACTCCACTCCTTCAACCACTCCTCATCAGGCTTGGTTTCCAGACCCTTGATCCTCTTGGTTGCTCGCCTAGTATCCTGATCAAAGAGAGTGTGGCAAAGAACTCACATGGTGGAACTTCATGATGTTTGCAAACACACCAGTAAATGAGAGATCTGTCCCAAACGTTCACGCCAATTTGTGTAACAAACAATTCTTTTTATTTGCTTCTTGCTATCATACAATGCTGTAAGAGAATAGATAGGTTCATATGGTGGTTTCTCCAGGAACAAAGTTAATACAGTTGATTAGGCATGAATAATTTATGTTGCTCTAGCAACAGGTTCTGAAATTCTGTTGCTCTGACACCAGGTTCTGAAATGCTGGGAAAGAACAGTTAAGAACGTTTAAAAAATAATAATAATGAAAAATATATTTGAAAACGATTTCTAACCCAATGGACATACAGAGCAGGGTAAAACTCTCCAGGGAAAAGGCTTGTTGAAAAAAGAATGTATTCAACAGGACTGGGAAAGGCACTAGGGAGGGAGTTTCAAAAGGAAGATGGCACTGTTCCCACGTTGTACAAAATGGACCTCATGAGACGGTATCTGCAGGAATTGCTCTCTGGCAGAGGAAAATGACAGACTGCGATATAAGAGATATAAGCAGTGAGATGATCTCCTACGTATCTCAGCTACTTAGGGCTTAGGGCAGGCTTCCTCAAAGTTGGCCCTCCAGATGTTTTTGGCCTACAACTCCCATGATCCCTAGCTAGAAGGACCAGTGGTCAGGGATGATGGGAACTGTAGTCTCAAAACATCAGGAGGGCCAACTTTGAGGAAGCCTGGCTTAGGGCCACCAACTTGAAAGGTAGACAATTTCTAGGCTGGTCTGTCCACCGGCTCCTGTCCCTAGGTGCTCACAGGTGTGTTTCTCAGGTTCCCCTTGCCATGTCCTTTTTTGAGGAAGAGGTATAAGAGGAAAGGAGCAAAAACAAGGAGTTTGCTGGCCAGAATAAGTCCGATACAGAGACCGAAGGGGGACAGCTGAAAAGGACCTGCAAGGGAGAAAACAGGAGATTTAACACCAAGCACAAGAGCCTGTCCGAAGATGCTGGCAAGGTAATCTTCAGAGAACTTACCATAGAAAGGCAGTAAAAAGCAAGCTGCTGATATTAACACTTCACTGTGATTGGAGAGTGTTGGGTGAGATGCTAGCCCTGAATTGGACGCCCGAGCTATCAATCCAGCTCCACACTTTCTAGTGTTCTCCTTATATGGTGTCATTCTGCAAGACTTTGGTGGCAGGCTGTCTGGCTTTCTTAGAGAGTGTTTTGAGCCCCAGATTGGTCTGAACTGCCCTGGATTGACCCATCTGCTTCAGATCAATCCAGAAATGCACTGAACTGAGGCCAGCATCAAAATGTCACCTTGAACTCTGATAATGACTCCTGCTTTCCTGGATGGGGGTTAGAGTTGGGTATGTGAATGTGTAGAGAAAGTATTATATTTTACAAAGGCTAATTTGTTGCTCCACAAACATTTGCCTCAGGCCCCTCCTGCCAATGGCATGTGGCCCTCATAAAGTTTCCTGGAAACCAATTCCACCAAGGGCACCCCAAACATTTTTGGTTCCAAGGCCAGATTTGGAAAGCTAAGAATGTGTGCTGCAGGCAACAAAAGAATCTCAACGCATTTCACAAAAGAAAAACTGGTGGTGCTCAGGACTGCCCTCTAAAATGAGAAGAGGCAAGTGAGTCTTATTGGGCATCAAGGTGGGCATAGCATGAAGCCCTATGTAGGGATCCTTTGATCTATTCCAAGCAGGAAGCACCTTTGGCCCTCCAAACATTGCTGAATTTCAACTCCCATCACCCCCCACCATCAGTCATGTTCACAGGGGCTGATGGGAGCTGTAGTTCAGCAAGCTCTGGAGGACCAACCAGCGCCCATATCTGGTCTACATTAACTAGCAGGGCCTCTCCAGGGTCTTGGGCAGAAGCCTTTTTCCTGGGAACTATTGCATGGAACAAAGGGACGTGGGTGGCGCTGTGGTTTAAACCACGGAGCCTAGGACTTGTCGATCAGAAGGTCGGCGGTTCGAATCCCTGCGATGGGGGGGAGCTCCTGTTGCTCGGTCCCTGCTCCTGCCAACCTAGCAGTTCGAAAGCACGTCAAAGTGCAAGTAGATAAATAGGTACCACTCCAGCGGGAAGGTAAACTGCGTTTCCGTGCGTTGCTCTGGTTCGCCAGAAGCGGCTTAGTCATGCTGGCCACCTGACCCAGAAGCTGTACGCCGGCTCCCTCGGCCAATAAAGCGAGATGAGCACCGCAACCCCAGAGTCGGTCACAACTGGACCTAATGGTCAGGGGTCCCTTTACCTTACTGCATGGAACATGGTTGCTCTTCCGATGAGCTGTAGATCCTCACCTTTAGGTGTGAAGTGGTCTGAAGATAAGAAGACCAGCACACAGACAGACATACGTGTTGACAAAAAAGCAAACATGGATTGAGGGGTGGGGGCAAAAACCACGAAAATATGGTGTCAGGACCCACATTTACCTGGCTCCACACTGACACTTTCACTTCCTTCAGTCAGCACCCTGATGTTCAGCACTGATGTTTCAGTCGCTACAGGCTGAGAGTTTTGCGTAACCAGGCAAGTAAATGCAGACTGGTTCCTTTCTTCCGTGGCATTCAGCTTCAGGGAGCTCCTGAGGGTGAATGTCCCATCCCCGTTCTGCGCCATGGGCTCAGCCGTTCCTGTTTCACTCAGGCTGCTGTTCAGAGTCAAGGCCAAGGTTGTGTCTTCTGGGTAAAACCCTTCTGCGCTGCAGCTGAAGGTCACCGATTCGTTCAGCGGGACGGGGTTGGCTGGGTTGGCTTCCAGCTTCACTCTGGGCGGAACTGTGTGGACAAAGGCAAAGAAATCTGCATGAGGACCATGCTGTTCCTGAGAGGGAATAGCTCCTGGAATTTCAAATGTGCTGGAATTGCATTCCTCCTGACAGAGGTATATAAGATTATGCACAGGGTGGAAAAAATGTAGGATTGGGCTTCTCATGCCTGCTACACAGCTTAAGCAAATGTGGCCTCAGCCCCTCCTTGAGATCAAGACCCTTAGACATGGGCGTAGCCAGGATTTTTGTTAGGGGGGCAGAACCTCAGTTAGCTATATATTTTTATTTATTTTTATTTAGGGGGCAGCTGCCCTTCCCTGCCCCCCTTGGCTATGCCCATGCCTCTAGAGGACTTGGACATTGAAATATACTCGGAGTCAAGAGTGGATTTCATACTCTTTACTCAGCTCGTAGTGGTGAGGAGGAATGGAAGTTCCCCCAGAATGTCTGCTTTATAGACATAATTTACACAATGGGCCGCATGTGATTGGCTAATTCCGGGATTCTCCTGTAGGCCAATCAGGTTGCAGATTCACTTCCACCTGGAGCTGGATTGGGTGGCTCCTGTGGACCAATCAGACTGCTGCATTCTGGATCCTATTGTTCTAGGGCCAATCAGACTGCTGCATTTTGGATCCTATTCAACTCAGTACCTAACTGAGCTGTGCTGGCTGGGGCAGATGGGAATTATAGTTCAAAATGTCTGGAAGATACCAGGTTGGCAAATGGGTGATCTATGGAGGCCATTAAGATATCAATATCAGGTGGTCTTGGTTGGATGCTACTGTCCATATCCACAGTGGAGTCTGGGCAGGCATCAGTCAAACATCTAATCTCCTTCAGAATTGGTGTTTGCCTGAGCCTTGGCCTCTGTCTTAGTAGCAGGAATCGCATTTCCCTTCAGTGAACATATCTAAGGACCAAAGTGGATGCTGCATACATAACAATGGCTCTTTTTTCTTAGTCCTTTGTGAGGAGCGATTGAGAGTGAAGAAGCAGCATAGTGGGGGCAGAAGGGGCACCTGACCCCTTGCCCTGCCACTTGACTTTGTGGGATGTAATCCACTGGGAGCAGTCAAGTACAACATTCCTTGTTTTGCTAGAGTGGACATGCAAGGGAATGTTTGGTCCAGCCAGTCGAAACTTCCTGTTCCTCCTGGCTGGAGCATCCTTCCTCTTGCAGGTGACTAGTGGGTGGGCGTGACCTTTCCAGACCAGGTAAAAGGCCAAGGCGTGCTGCCACTCTCCCTCTTTTCCATCTTCCTTTCGTCCTGAGAACTTCCTGGAATGAACTGCTGGACTGCTAGTCTGCAGTCACTAGGTAAATCTCCCTTATGGGGTAAACCTGTTAGTATAAGTTTGTAACTTTAAGCCTTAAGCCTGCCTTCAGGGATCACACTGTGCTGTGCCTGATCGTGAGTAAACTTTCTTTTTATTGCTTATCAATAAGACTGTGGTGTCTTTATTCTTTTAGGAGGGATTCAAGGGGTCTTACCAGGAATGTATTAGAAGACATTTCAATCTGGACAAGCCAGATTGAATTGCGTATTGTCTTAAGAAACTCACACGAGTTTGCATCTAGTTTTCTGCCGTGTAAAGGGAAATGCACTCTGTTAAGTAAAGGAACTTGCTAATGCAAGTTAGGAAGGATATTAATAAACAATATATCCTCTCCTGCCACCCTGAACATTTCCACAGACTTTTCCCATTTCCCCCCGTGCAATGAAGCTTCTCCAACAAGGGGACTAATAAGGGCCTGCGTGTAATGTGTCACTTGACCCAAAATTCCCACCTATACTTTAGAGAAAAGGTTCATCTGTGCATAATGAAGACATGGAGAATGTTCTTTGCCAATAATGCACATTGAGTTCCCCAAGTCTCCTGGCCAATCACTCCAGTCAACTCACTGGGATCAAGCAAGAATTATTGGCAAGCCAGGTGAACTGGTTTATAATTACAGAAATCCCCCAAGTTAGGCATGAATTGTCAGTCTTACCAAGAAGTGTCAGGGAAATATTGTGGTTCAGTACTCAATACTCTGTGGATTCAGCTTGGACAGCCAATGAAATCCACACTCCAGAGGTCAGCAAAACAGGACATTTACTTAGGTGTTGCAAGGCCAGTGTGACACAACAACCATCAAGGAGTGAGGGCTAGCACACAGGATATGAAAATGGCACAAACATTTATACACTTACAAGCAAGAGGAAGCAAACAAGCATATCCACATATGGCAATACTTCCTTCTGCTAGCTTCTGCTGGTTCAATCTTCCCCTACAACAGTTCCTAATAACCAGGTCTGGCTATCGCCTTCCTTTGTCCTTCTCTCATAGTTTCCTTGCAAACACAGCCATCAGATTCCAGCCTCCACTCGCTCAGCCCTTCTCACACGTATTTCAATTTTCACTCCATAGTTCCTGTAGTTTCAGTAATTTCTCTGACGGAAGGAAAGCAAATCAAGCCACACAGTCCAGATGAGAAGCAGGATCTGAGCCTTCGTGCTATCCCATTTTCATACCAAATCTTGCTCAAAGTCCTAGTAGACTGTTCCTGATTCTTATAGAGTATAGTGGTACCTCGGGTTAAGTACTTAATTCGTTCCAGAGGTCCGTACTTAACCTGAAACTGTTCTTAACCTGAAGCACCACTTTAGCTAATGGGACCTCCTGCTGCTGCCGCGCCGCCAGAGCACGATTTCTGTTCTCATCCTGAAGCAAAGTTCTTAACCTGAAGCACTATTTCTAGGTTAGCAGAGTGTGTAACCTGAAGCGTATGTAACCCGAGGTACCACTGTACAAGGATTACCTTGTTGGATCAACCTGACTCTAGCCAGATACTCTTGGGAAGCTAGAAAATGCATAATGGAGATAGATTTATGTATTGAATTTATACTCTACCCTTCCTCCCAATGGACCCTGGAGCACCAACCTGCTCATCTCTCGTTCCCTCTGGCATCCAAGACCCACAGCTTCTTGCCCTTCCTTGCAATGATCTGCCACCCGACAGCCAGACCCCCACCAGTCTCTGTACCTCGTAGGATATCTCCAAGTTTGAAAAACTCCCGCAGGGGACTCCGCAAGGTCTCGTGTTCAATCTGGCAGATGAGCTGGGACTTCACATCGTCTCTTGTGAGTGGCACCTGTGCGCTGCTCAGCACTTGGTAGGAGATGCTGACTCCTTCTGGCAGAACGGTGGGCTCTGGGGACACGATCCTGGTGTTGTCCTTCAGCCAAGTGACTTTGATGGCTCGGGGGGAGAATCCATCCGACGTGCAGCTGAAAGTCGCCGAGGTCCCAGATAACACTCTGCTCGCGGGACCCTTGATGGATGGCTGGGATGGCGTGGCTGCGGGGGAAAAGCGTGACATCACCTGTCATTCCCTGCGGGATACGGCCCACCCCAATCCAATGGGAAATCCTTTGGGGTGCCAGGGGGCCATTTTGGAATTCTGAGATTGTGCTGTGGGCACCAGTCACAAAATGGCTGCCTGGGTGCAGGGAGGGAAGGAGGCACAACACAGAATGTCTGCCATATCTAAAAGCAGAAAAAGAGGGAAGACCACAAAATGATGTGGGCATAGAGTTGGAAGGGACCTCGAGGGTCATCTAGTCCAACCCCCTGCAATGCAGGAATATGAGCTGTCCCCTATAGGAAGTGAACCTGCAACCTTGGCATTATCAGCACCCTGCTCCAACCAGCTGAGCTGTCCAGGGTGACAATGGTTCTATCAATAGTAAAAAAGGTCCTTTCATTGGCCACCACTGTGCTTCATCAGAGAGAGATGCTCTTTGCCCCTCTCCCTCTTCCCTCAAATGCCCAAATTATTAACAGATCAATTAGGAAATCAGACCAGGCTGGGGGGTGGAGTCTTTATTCCCACGGAGAGCAGGAGTCCTGAGCTCAGGACTTGCTAGAGGGGAAACATGACTACCTGGCCCCTGGGACTCCCTCAGGCCACACCCCTTCTTCCCAGGCCATGCCCTCATTGGTCCTGATTTGCTGGCCTGGTAAAATTTCACATTGGTCGCTCTCCCACTTTTTGACTCTATCCCATCCCCTGGCATGACCAATTCAGCCAGCTAGCCCTGGGGGTTATCTAATTGATTTTTGAACTTTATTGTTATTCATGTTTTTATACTGTATTTTATGCTGTTTTTATAATTAAGTGTTTTAAAACTGTTTTAAATTTGTTGTTAGCTGCCCCGAGCCCGGTTTTTGAACCGGGAAGGGCGGGGTATAAATAAAAATTATTATTATTATTATTATTATTATTATTATTATTATTATTATTATGTGCCCCTTTGAAATTGACCAGTAGGGAATAGAGTCCTTAGGATGAAAAAGGTTGTCATCTCCCTCCCTCCCCCACTCGCCCCACAACAGGCTCTCCACTGGTTAAATTTACGTTGCACGCAGATGGTTATAAGTGTAGATTTTCAAAGAATGAAAAGCAGCTTTGGGACCCTTGGGGAAGGGGAAGGAAATAGATTTTTGTGCAGAAAACCCCCAGCAGGGCAGGAGTGATGTGCCCTTTCTCCTCTCATCACTGCTTCACTCAAACATGCCACCCACCAAGCCTATTTTTCACTTTTTAAAAAGGTCCGAGCCTCATTAGATGCCTTTGCTTTTCTACATAATGTGGAGCTTCTGGGGCGAGAGGGGCAGATAGTCCTCCTCGGAAACAAGGAGAAATTGAGGGATACTTACCAATCACAGAAACCTCAGTGCCCGCTCCCGATTTCAATTCTGTTTCTTGGGATCCTGCCCTGTACTTGACACAGTAATAGGTCCCGGCATCCTCAGGTCGGATGTTGCTGATGCGGATGCTGAAGTCTGTTTCTGATGTAGGGTCAATCCTGGTCACACGGGAAGGATATTGTCCTCTTTCACTGTAAATGGACTGTTTTCTGTCCGACCCCTTGTGCCATTTCACGCCTCCTGGTGGACCAGTTCCATGGACTGTACACGTCAGAGTGAGGCTCTCTCCTGAGGACACAGACAAGGGTCCTGGGGGCTGCAGAACTTCCAAATCTTGGCCTTTGGCACCTGCAGCAAAATGAGTAGCACGTAACCTCCTACATTTCTCTGATGAACAGAGGGACTTCATATTCCTTAATAATGATTTTGCTATTTATACCCCACCCAACTGACTGAGTTGCCCCAGACACTCTGGGCAGCTTCCAACATATATAAAAACATAATAAAACATTAAACATAAAAAAATACCTTCCCCATACAGGCCTTCCTTCAGACAGCTCGGGGGTTGGAGAACTCCATCGCCTCCAACATTTATCCAATGGAAATAGGGACGTCTTAAGGAAAAGCGGATGGGACGCGGGTGGCGCTGTGGGTTAAACCACAGAGCCTAGGTCTTGCAGATCAGAAGATTGGTGGTTCGAATCCCCACGACAAGGTGAGCTCCTGTTGCTCAGTCCCAGCTCCTGCCAACCTAGCAGTTCGAAAGCACTTCAAAGTGCAAGTAGATAAATAGGTACTGCTCCAGCGGGAAGGTAAATGGCATTTCCGTTCGCTGCTCTGGTTCGCCAGAAGTGGCTTAGTCATGCTGGCCACATGACCCGGGAGCTGTACGCCGGCTCCCTCGGCCAGTAAAGCAAGATGAGTGCCACAACCCCAGAGTCGGTCATGACTGAACCTAATGGTCAGGGGTCCCTTTACCTTTAAGGAAAAGCGGGGCATTCTGTGATCAAATTAGAAACCAAGATGGCTTCTGTAAATGCGGGACTGTCCTTGGGAAACAGGGACACTTGGAGGGTCTGATAACAGCATCTTCTTCTTTTTCTCCAGACTTTGGGTTGTATTAAACATTGTTTGTGTGTGAGTAAAACAGTACCGGATTGAACCCTGTGGAGGCCCCTAGGCAGTCAAAAAATTTTTTTTTGGGGGGGAGGGCTCAGAAATTATCTCCTAATAATACTTGATTGTAATTTTCTTTCAAGATCAAATCAATATTGTTTGATCCCTTGTCATGGGGCCCCTAAAAGATGTGGGGCCCATAGGTCAGTTCCTGGCTATTTGGAGTTGAACTGTCTTTCACCCATGGGAAATGGAGGTAGCGAGAGATTTTACTTTCTTGGGCTCCATGATCACTGCAGATGGTGACAGCAGCCAGGAAATTAAAAGACGCCTGCTTCTAGGGAGAAAAGCAATGACAAACCTAGACAGCATCTTAAAAAGCAGAGACTTCACCTTGCCGACACAGGTCTGTATAGTTAAAGCCATGGTTATCCCAGTATGTATGGAAGTGAAAGCTGGACCATAAAGAAGGCTGATTGCCGAAGAATTGATGCTTTTGAATTATGGTGCTGGAGGAGACTCTTGAGGGTCCCATGGACTGCAAGAAGATCAAACCTCTCCATTCTTAAGGAAATCAGCCCTGAGCGCTCACTGGAAGGACAGATCCTGAAGCTGAGGCTCCAATACTTTGGCCACCTCATGAGAAGAGAAGACTCCCTGGAAAAGACCCTGATGTTGGGAAAGATGGAGGGCACAAGGAGAAGGGGATGACAGAGGACGAGATGGTTGGACAGTGTTCTCGAAGCTACAAACATGAGTCTGACCAAACTGCGGGAGGCAGTGGAAGACAGGAGTGCCTGGTGTGCTCTGGTCCAGGGGGTCACAAAGAGTTGGACACGACTAAACAACAACAACAACAACAACAACAACAAGATAGATAGATAGATAGATAGATAGATAGATAGATTCTTTATTGTCATTACACAAGTGCAACATTGCACAAGTGCAACGAAATTGGATGCCATCCTTAAAAACAACAAAAGCAAAACAACAACAACAACCAAACAAACCACCTTCCAACCACACCCACACCCACACCATTGTTCTGGGTCCCTCCTGTGTGTGGTGAGTGAGCATCCTGTTGCAACAGTTAATAAAGATCAGGCTTACTAGCTGCATTGCTTCTCAATATACTCCAGTTGGCCTCTGTTATTTTCTCCCACCGATAGGGAACCCACTTAAGGACTCTATATGGGCTCTTGGATACCCCATAAGGGGAAAGAAGCAGTTTTTTCTTATGTAAACATGAAATCTGTTCACAGAGAATAATTGAGGGATAATTGGGGTGGGGAATGGTTTCCACTCTAACCACAGTCCTCTAACCTGAATATTTTGTTTGAAAAGCTACAAAGCCGTGATTTAAAAAAGAAGAACAAAGACAAATCTTGCCTCGTGTTTTATTACTTTATTACATTGAAAGCAGGAATGGGGAACCTGTGGGGAAGATCTGAAAATGGGGCGTTCACTGTTGCAAAATTGGGGAAGCATTGCAATTCATCTTCAGAAACAACAGAATCAATGTCCTACGAGAGAACTTGCTAAGACCTGACTTTTCAATGAAATATACAAGTTCAATATAATGCAAACTCTGGAGACTTTGAGATATGCTTATGAAAACTGAAAGGACTGGTTCCTCCAAATTTGCCACCTTTGGTCATGTCCACCACAAGTGCCTATAGCATTATTCTATTATTATTATTATTACTACTACTACTTCACAAAAGTTACTCAAAGCTACTTACAAGCACTATCTAAACACTAAAGCCAATTGCAAGAAACACAAGCATTAAAAATCTAGAAAACACATCTCTACAAATGCAAGTTGGGTGTAACAGATCCGGCAGCACTAAAAAAGGCCACAAGTACTTAAAACCTTCTATTTCAAGGCCAAAAAGCTCAGGTAAAAAGGGAGAGCACTCCACAAATGTGGAGCCACCACTGAAAAGGCCCCTTATAACACAGGCACTCCCGTAATAGAGGCACACAGAGAAGGACCTCAGCTGACAGCCACAAGTTCCCTATCTTTTCTTGCTACACCGAGGCTCACCAACCTGGTGCCCTCCACAGCCAACTCCCAAAAATATTGGGGGCACCAGAGTGGCAATTTCTGGAAAGTTGTAGGTCATACTAGACTTCACCATACCTAGAAATCTGTGCTAGCCTGCAAGTTCAATGTCTACCTTTAAACACTCACCGAACATTTGCAGGAGAAGGAGCAGCAGCAGAAATGAGTGAGGAGATGCAGAGAAGGAGCGCAAAGCAGCCATCGGGGTGACAGAAAGGAAACCCTTCTGTGCTGTGTCTGAGCTCAACCTTTTTACATCAGATATTGCCTCCGCAGAAGGGAAGAGGAAATGGTTGCCTCATCTAGTTCCCAGCAATCCTGTTTAGATTATTTAAAAGCCCCGAAAATTGCACAAGAGCGGAAGTTGCAGGTCACAGAATCACAGAACTGCGGAGTTGAAAGGGACCCCGCGGTTCATCTAGTCCAGGGGACAGCAACCTTTTTCAGCTGTGGGCTGGTCCACTGT